GTTTATTTATTACTATGGAAATGTTATTGCCATGATTACTTGTTTATAGAGATGTATATATAGATTCCATTTTAGAATTAGTGATTCATTCCATAACTAACATTTGTTGAAAACATTTATCTATTTTTACTGTAAACTGAATCATTATATAATTTATTATAATTTATAAAAAGTTATTGAAGTTACAAAGTTCTTATTTATTTATTTATTTATAGTATTATAATAATATCATTATAATCGCTATAATCAAAGTCGGTAATAGACTTTCTAATAGAGTTTCCGATAGTCTCTGATAGATGGCAGCACGAACGTTTTGTAGACAAGGAGCGCAGCAATGTGCGACAAGGACAGACTTATGTTACGTGACAGACAAGGAATACTATTTGACAAGGACGATAAGAATATAGTCTGGTTAACTGCTTAATAAATCTTGTGATGTATGTAATCTTGTAAAAATAATTGAAACAGATAAAATTCCAAGAATTGTATATTACCTTTCAATATCTTATAATTAACAATTTAAATTCTTAAATTAAATTAAAAGACGTAAAAGACGTCGTGTCATTTTAAATGTATGTATGTAGCAGAAATTTTGTCAAATGATCGAGATGTATCTGCCAGTTACATACTTAAACATTTTACATGTACATATATTTTACATATACTATATATTATATATATCACAAATATCTACGTAGGTATAAATAAATATACACAATAATTGCAGAATAATTAAAAATATTGTATTTCGTAATGAACATAATGTAACAATGTGTAATGTAATAATTTGTTAGAATGTAGACACCTATGTTGTTACAAAACTACTTTGCACATTTATTCAAATATCTCACAAATTACATTCGAGTTTCTGATGAACATAGAAACATATGCAGTATTCACATTTTTTTTTTTTTTTAACCACAAAATGTAGCCTGTCCATTTATTTACTTCCTGCAAAATTATACCGAAGACATGCAGAAATAACTCACAACTACTATTCCCAACAGCCAGATATAGATTTTTAAGCTTCGAAGTGTACAGAATTATACATATTTCTACTGATATTTCCGCTTACATGATGTTCTGCACCAGCGACGTTGCGCCAGCAACTAAATGGATGAAATCATGCCGCCAAATGCCATGGGTACATAAAAATATATTTTTCATAATTGATACACAGCATTTTCACACCCATGATGTAATATAAATAAAGGCATAGATGATTAGTTGTGAAATCGAATTAAAATCCTAAGCTTTAAGAGGAAAATATTCTTTTAACATCTGTATAGATGATAAGTCTTGAAGATCAATACATAACGGATGATCAAATGAAGGCAGCGTATCAAAATACACGCCTTGAGCACGACGTACGGCTCGATATCAATTCTAGTCCTAAACTAGCACGACTTACTCGAATTATGGTCACACTAGGTAAGCACGATTTTGTATTGCATCTTTAAATGAGTTTTAATGATTAGACAATTTGGACTCGACTGAAATTGATAAAGTTAATAATTATCAAATACGATAAGTAGAATAATACAAATTTCATTTGATGCAGCAGATATCCTCAAAGCTTTGCACTGTTGAGATCAGTATTTTATTATTTTATTATTTCATTAAAAACTTTATTATCTTTATAAAAACTTTATAATCTGAAACTTTAGATTTTATTATTTTATTATTTCATTAAAAACAGATAGACATACATGTAACATATATGTATACGTGTTTGATACGTGTAGGTAGAGCGAATTCTCATCCTGACGCTGTGGTTAACATGATGATGGCTGGTGCAAATATCGTTCGTTTGAACATGTCCCACGAGACGGAGAAGTGGCATGCAATCACTGTACAGTCTGTTAGAGAAGCGGGGAACAAAATGTACGAACTCACGAGCGAGGTTTATCCTTTAGGAATTGCAATGGATCTTCACGGTCCTGAAATAAGAACCGGTGTATTCCGTGGTGATGAGAAGAGTATAGTATGATAAAAATCTAGAAACCACTTCAATCAGTATATTTTACAATTATATTGATGATACTGATCAATATCGATATGTATGTGTAGGATAGAATGACGCTTTAAAATGAGACCATTACACAATCTTTTTTACCAAGTTCATTTAAATTATCGGCAATTTTTCACTGTCGTGTGTAGACGAACATTGATATTTGTAGGGATACGCTAAATTAGAAGAGGGTAAATTGGTGAAATTGGTAACCGACGATATAGCAAAACGCGGAGGGTCTGCTAAATGTTTCTGGATTTCTTACTCTGAATTGCCACGCGTGTGCCGAGAAGGGGACAGAATATTGATTGATCGAGGCACCGCTTTGTTACAAGTCTCCTGCATCCGTCAGTTGCATATATTGTCTATAATCGATAGAGAAACGATCGTTGTAAATATTAACGATATATTAATTTGTTCGATGCAGATGAAAAAGCTGTAACTTGTAGGGTCGTTAAAGGTGGTATCGTGAGAGATAACAAATTGGTACAGTTACTAGATAGTACAGTCTCGTTACCACAAATATCGGATAGAGACACCGGGCACGTGAAACTGGCTTCGATGTTGGAATGCGATTTCCTTATAATGAATCATACACGCAACGTAAGGATGTTGCACGGGATGAAAAGTCGCTTGAAGCAAATGGGTATGAATTGAACGAACTGTACATTACACAAATGATTCGCAATGTTCGATAAACAACGCAAATCAATGTTTGATTGAAGGTGTTACTAAAATTTGTGTCGTGGCCAAAATCTCCACGCAGCAAGGTTTGGAGAATTTCGACGAAATCTTAAGTACAGCTGATGCTATTCTCCTCGACAGAAATAGCATCGAAGTGGACGTGGGTAACGAGAAATTGTTTCTAGTGGAGAAAATAATAATTGCAAAATGCATTAGGGTGAGCGTTTATCTACTAAATATGTATTTGCCTTTAATTACGATTTTTATAGTTAACGAAATTACGCCAAATTTTATTACATACTTACACATGAACGATTAGATAATGTTGAAAGATGAAAGAACTTTAAATATCAGAACTTTGATAATATTCAAGATCATAGTTAATTAGGTCGATTTCCCATAGATAGGGAAACCAATTGTGTTAGGGTTTCAAGTGTATAACAACGAAGAGTTAAACATTGACATGAATCTCATTGCACACGCTGTTTTAAATGGAGTCGATGCAATCTTCCTTAAAACCGGTGCTATGAATATGAAGGATATCACTAAACTATTAAAAGACGTTGACATTGTATGCAGGGAAGCTGAAAGCGCTCGATGGCAAAAGGAAATTTTCGACGAATTAAGCTACAAGGTACTCAAGCTGTTGAGTGGAACTGGTATTAATTGAATATCTCGTAATACAAATTGATTGAAAAATTGTATGAATCGATTTCTTTTTGATTAACGTAACATTGAAAATACGATGTATTACTACATATTATTACGTGTTATTTGCACATTTTACGAAAAACAGGTGCCAATACCTTTGGATCCTTTACACGCCATCATAGTCGGAGCAGTCGAGACATCTTTAAAATCAACAGCAGCAGCGATTATCGTTACTACAACAACTGGACGCAGCGCTGTTCTGTTGTCAATGTACCGTCCTCGATGTCTGATTCTTGCAGTTACTCGTCACGGAGTCGTTGCGAGGTGGTTGCAACTCTATTACGGTATCCACTCTCTTCATTACAGAAGTAAATATATCTTCTACTCATTTCATAAAAATAAATATGCTCTCCTTTGTTTTACAAATACATTTTTCGCCTGGCTATACTCAGATCAAGCAGACAAAGTTGAGTTAAAAAACTCTAGGAGTAATAGTATAATATTATATTATTATATTAGTATGTATTATAATATTATATTATATTACATGAGAAATATAACACTAACTGTTAAATTGATATTATTGTAAAAATATTAGCAGTTGTGCCAGATTATAATGCACTATTTTAACAGTTAGTATCTTAATGAAAATGATTATATTTAATGTAATGGTCAACATAGAGGAGTCGTTGGCTGATTGGGGTAAAGATATACAAACCCGAATACAGACTGGTATCGATTCTCTCAGAAGAAAAAGGTACATTAGAGTTGGTGATCCGATCGTGGTTGTTAGCGGATGGCGTCAAGGAACAGGCTTCACTAACTGCGTGCGTATAGTTTACGTATCACCTGGACACGTGGAAAATCAAATCGCGGATTTCGAACCTTGCTGGTGAAATATTTCATTTCTTCCTGTGTGACATGAATGAAATAATTTTTTTCATACCTAGAACAATAAAGCACTAAATGAAGCATTGTTAATTATGACTTTTAGTTATACTTTTCCTGTAACAAGTTCTTCTGATAAAAAAAGAATTACCGTACCGATAAGCTGTAATAATTTATAAGTTGTTGAAACATATGTGAAATATCTAAATCAAATACTGCCGTCAACCAATAGAAATCATATCAAGAAATAACATACTGTACGATATCTATAATCCATAAAAAAAAACTAATTAGTTATCTATTATAAATGCAAGGTCAAGTTACGATGACTAATAATTTATAGAAAAGATATTTTTAGAATAAAAATATGATAGGATCCAACGATTATGCACATATTGGAAATTATATTTATTTTCCATCGTCATCAAGATCTATTGTCACGATATGTATATATGTACATCATGCGTTCAATCAAGCTAGCTATTACTCTGAACAAATATGTTTATTCAGACATTAATAGTCAAGATGTTCAAGTGGACATTAATAATAATGCCAGAATGTAATTTTATATGCCCTCGTGCTGTTTACTTATGACGTTCAGTCGTCGATTAGCTCTATCTTCTTTTTTTAAAGAAGAGGGAAGAACTTACAGCATCGTTTCGAAAAAATCTTACGAGTTCTACAAGTTTGAATAGCCAATTAGAACAAGAAACTAATCAGAGCGAAAGAAATTCTACCGTCTATGGTCTATTAGTATGGCGTACTTGCATTTATGCTCTAATCATAGTTAATCAAGCAGCCTTTTCCAAGATCAGTTATTTCTTACCATTGAAACGTAATTGAACCCCTACTAAGAGTAGAGACAAAGATTTATTTCTTATCCGTGAAACCTTGGTAAGCTTGAGCTCTGTGTATCTAATATTATTTACTGTATGCAGTAAAGTAAAAGACGAAACAATCCGAAAAATTCAAACTGATAACGTAAGTCGTCGATCTGAAGTTAAATTTATTGACAGAAATTTTAAAAATTTCAAACTCGTATCGACCAAAGATTTCTCAATGTCTCTGAACTTGTAAAATAAGCAAGTAGATTGTAGAAGTGAAAAATAGTGAAAAATCATCAATCAAAGAAATTGAATGGCGAAGGAATTGTCATAAGCGTAAGTAATTTCCTTCGTGTCAGAGGAAAAGGATGGAGAAACGCCTCGACTCGTGGCAGTTCGCATGCTCGCTTTCGAGTGGCCACCTGTGCTTACGCCCACGCTCTTCTACCCTGTTCAAACCATCTCAACCCCTATATATATAAGAAGACACTCTCGATACCGCTTCATTTCTCATCGTTACTCTTCTATCGCAACACTCTTCTAATTTCAACCTGAATCGAGTCGACGATTTCTTCGGCATTCTTTCATCCGTATTCATTCCTATTTTCCTTTGGTGAGTTTGTTAACTTTTTCGTGTTTACTGTTAGCTGCTCCTTTGGCACATCTTACCCTTAAACTTTAGTAAAGTTTAATAGACTCTAGTAGAGTCTAATATCGTTTTATCTTCAGGAAATTGAATAAGATGTCAATCAAATTCTACGCGAAATCAATCTTGGTGTTTATTATTGTTGGCTTCGTTATTGGTGCTGAAGATTACACAGATTACGGAGGTAGGTGAAAAAGGTTTAATATAAATTAAAGAAAAATCGAGTACTTAACTTTTGAGTTTAAAGTCGTATTTTAGCAAAGTTAAACGAGTCGGTAACTATGTATCAGTAAATGTTACGATACATTCACTAAGATTAGGATATCGTATTTACAGATGAGGTACCAGACAAAATGCCAATAGAAAATATTCACGAACTGTATAGACTTTTGTTGCAACATAATGCTTTAGAAAATATTGGACTTGGCGAGACTCCGTTGGAACACTTAATGATTCGAAAATCTCAGCGATCGCCTTCGTTGCGTCTACGTTTCGGACGTTCGAATCCTCATTTGTCTGTAAGTTATTTCACATATATGAGCTTTTACTTTGAAATAAAGATCATTCCTGAATTTTAGAATCGTATCTCAAGAGAGCAGTTTCTAATTACGACTCGTGATTACTTCTGTATTTTTCATTTTCGCCATGATGTGACATCTAGAATAGTATTTTTATAAAATTTTTTTTTTTCTTATATTTTTCAGATCGGAATTCCAAGACCTACAAGTGTTATTTCATCATCAAGATTCGACAAGTGAACAAATATGGATAATTATGTTCCCTCGGTTTTCTTCTATTTATTATAAAAACTGCAAAATATGTGTGATATGTTGATATTTGTCAAAAACACTTATGTTGAAGATATTTTTACGAGAAATGTGAATTTTATTTTATTACACATAGAGCATGAGTAATTGCTATTATTTCCTTAATATATGACTTATGTCTTTTTTATTTCATAAATTTTAAATATAATATTTGCGTTTCACTTTTATATTATTTCTAGGTAAAAATTTTATATTATTTCGTGTATAACATGTACAATTTATTAATCCATATTAATCGTTCTAAATTTGCAATGTAAAAAATTTAAACTTTAGAATTAGCTCATTCGTCTTATGTTAAGATTATTTAACAAAATTTTATTCAATGGTTACTTGAAATGTGCCGTTTTTATAGAAGAACAGAGCTTCTTAAGTGAACACACTGCTTCTTTGTCTTTGTAACTCAATTCGCCGACATTTTTAAATTCTGGTCTTGATAAAAGTTGGCTTCGTGCATGGTCCAGAGTAACGGAAAGTGGCATTGTTAAAAGCTTTCTCCAGTTTGTTTTCTCATACTGAATAAGAAACTGTAAATGTAATGTTATAATATAACATATAAATTTGATGTAACAATTTAAATAAAAATTTACTCCTTGATTTTCCTACTTGTTTATTCTATCGCAACCATTTCTACTAATTGTAATACCGACCTGATCAAACGTAGTGTCTTCAATATGGAACATTATGTGTGTTAATGGTTTAACGAGAGGTGATGTTTCAGGTATATTGTCTACAAGTCTGGTAATATCATTTCGTCGTAACTTATACAATAGTAAATCAGACGCGCGAATTAGAAGTTCATGCGTTAGCTGTAATGCAAAGATTTCGTATAAAATTTAAATATAACAATTCAAAGATTCGTATAAATTTTAAATATAACAATTCAATGAAGGAAGATTATGTGTTTTGTAGTACTTTCAAAGCCTGACGCCCAGAACTAGTGAACAACAGTTCGTCGGTATATATTTCAATAATGGAAGACGTGTTGCTCGTTTCCTTAATCTCTGCATTTGGTGCTTGTACACTGAAATATTAGTTTCGTTGCCTTTAAATATTTCCCAAAGTTATAAAATAATCTTACTTCGTTTTTACAAGCTGGAAGAAATCGTCGATTTGAGAAGTGTGCTTGTTGTCTTCGTCGATACTACAAATAGCTTCGGCCAAAGTAGTCACTGTTGCTGGTATATCATTAGGGTCAAAAAAATTTAATTCGTAGTCTATTTCTCGTGTTGTTGAACTGTCTTGTATCTCCGTTTCGCAAATTTCCGAAAATTCGATAAGAACAGTATAGAGAGATGAGCACAAAACGTGAAGGAGAACGTTTCCACCAATTGGATGACAATGGGCAGGAATATTATCGTGCAATGCAAGTACGGTTTTTAAAATTGAAGATGGTAACGTTACGTATAATTCAGTGAAACAGCCAATTACTAATGACATTGCTTGGTACATACTAGCTCCAGTCTGAAAATTATAAATAATTCTTTAAAAGTCAATATTTATTAATTCTTATAATGATTATTAATTCACATCTTATTAAATTCAATTAATTCAAACTCATACTCAGTCAGCTTCTGTATATTTCTGTATATTTCTGTATTCTGTATAGTGTGTAATAAATTAAATTTTCTAATAACAGTTGCAATATAAAAAGTACGTTTATTACGTTTGTTATTAAAATATCATATTCAAAATTAATGATAATGTTAACGTACAACCTTTTTTACCTACATGATTATTTGTAGGTGTTTATTGCTTGCTATTGAAATAAACATAGACAACTTACTCTTACAGCTTCCAACAAAATTTCGATAATTGGATACATCATGTTCTTTAAAGGATTCAAAATTGCATTCAGCCAGGGTGGTCTTGATTGATTCCAAACCTAAATAAATGTGCTTACATTGCATTTACAGACATTGCTTTTTAATATTTTAATGAATACCTGTTGTCGATCCAGATAACTCGACCAATCAGGAAGTTGCTTTAAAGCTGGCACAATAACACAACCAGGATCTTGTGCTATGTATGTTAAGATATACATTAAACTATAAAGGCCTAATGCCGATGTTACTTTCATCGATGGGTTGCACGTTATACCACCGCATAAAAAACCACCGCAACTCTTTCCACCGAGTCGTAATTTTTTAAAATTTTCAAAATCATTTTCAGACGTAAAATTACCGCATTTGTGGATCAAAGTGCTCAATAATATTTTAGCTACCGCATAGTCATTCATAAAGATTACCTACGGAAACTTTTAATTAGAATCCTTTTTCAGTAAGTTAATGCAAATATGTCGCAATGCAACAATGTTGTATTATTAATAAAGATGTAGAAAAAATTATTTTTGTAATTACCTTAATTAACTGGGGCCAATTTGGTTGAGGTTGATGTCTAAGAACGTTTAATTCTAAAATCACACCTCGATCTTTTGGCAAATTTGAGATGTAAACATCAGAATCGATAGAACCTACTAAGTTTGGTGCAGTTATTAATAACCAGGGAGCAGGTTCACGACGTGGTTGCAAAATTGTTAAATTTTCAAGTCCAAAACGAAACACCTTTAATGAAAATTTATCAAATCTAGAAGAAAACTATATAATCTATACCTATATATATGAATTCTTGAAATTCTAATCTCCTACTATAAAGATAATAGATATTATATGTAAATAATGGATAAGTATAAAATGCTGGCAAAAAATTTGTTATAAAAATCACTCTTTTGCGGTAATATGATATTGTTATTCTTCAGTTAGTTAATCGGTTAAAAATATTTGTAATAGAAACAGAATCAAAAGGTGGATTTGATTTTTCACGTTACCTATGGAATAAGCATCAGTAATAAATACAATATATATGGTTATTAATTTGTAGAAAAAAATTAATTAAATAAACCGATGAAGAAAAGCATGCATATCTATTTTCAGTTATTTGAAATTATTAGTTTTATACCTGATATAATTCTTGAAGAGGTGTACCCCTTAATAACAAACAAATCAACAATTCGTTGCATTTCGTGTGTATATCTCTAATAGCAGTGGGTAATTTATTTAATCTCATTCCAATCATTTCATTGGCATTAACACAAGCGCCCAAAGCAAGATATCCAGTACAACAGAGAACATTAAAGGCATCTGTCCAGAACTGTTCGGATCGTACTAAACTCGGTCGACCCTATTTGTTAGTTTATATTTATTTGTATTGATATTATAATTCATATAATTAGATAAATATACGGCAAGTATACGTTTAATTATAAGTGAAAAATTGTAAATATTTAGAAGAGATACGTTACAAAAAGTAATTGGTGCGAGCACGAGAAAATTTAATGGTAACATTCAGTAACATTGTCTGTAATTTGATCTTAAATAAATATGAATACAAGAATAATAACTTGTGTAAAAATACTGCAGAAATGATACTTTAGACTGCAATAGTTGAGATCTTTTTTCATTGTCGTGCATAATAGCACCGCTAGTTCTCAAAATAATATTTAAAAAAGAATAAATTGGTAAAATTATAAGTTGATATAAACAGTCAACATAAGCGTCATATATTCGGAAATATTCTTACATAAACAAATCTTGTAATAATAATGGATAAAGATTCGTTCAACATTCCAGAAAAAACGCGTTGTGCCATTTTTGGAGATACGGTACTCCATAAATCTGTCTTCGTTCCTAAAAATATGAAATCAACTATAAAGATATATGATAAATAAGAATAAAATTGATACATTGTTAAATTTCTGAAATATGTAAAGCTATTTTGCTAATAAATTTCCCAAGCGTTGTTTCAACAGATTTGTTTAACTGTTATTTAGTACTGTTTCGTTTTGGAGAAAATCTTTTGCAAACAGGGAAATTCTCTAAAAACATTTTTAAAGAAAGAACTCTTTATCAAAATGACATTCTTTTGATAAAGAGAAATTAGTAAAAAGATAATAGAAAAGAATGTTTCATAATTTTGAGATAAAACATATTGTATAAAGCAAAAGCTACGTATATATTTCAAAAACGATACAAACTTCCTGAACTTTTCGAATTAATATCTCAATATCAGATGCTATATGTTCGTCATTTTTATTTAGCGAAAATATACTGCTTTCTAACTTTATAATGTGTAATGAAATTGTATGTGTAATTACCTTGTATGTATAGCCACCACATTTGTATTACGAAAGAACATCGCTCCCGTTCAAAAAATGACTTAGTATCGTGCCAACTAAGTGAATCAGCTTCATTAAGTATGTATAACGAAATTAAACGACAATGCAAATCCAATAATCGTTCTGCTACAGCTTCAGCCATTTCATGATAAGATTTATACGATGCGTTTAATTTTTCACTATCCCGAAGAAAAATTATAAAAATTAGAAATTGAAGAACTTGTAATATTATTAATTGGAAATTAATTGAAAATTATGATAAACTAACACCTTGACTGTACGGAAATCAAATTTTTAGCTTGTTGATTATAACACCATAAACAATTTCGTACTAATGCAGCTGCTCCTAAAGTAGCTGTTAATACTGTTAAATCAGCATGATCTAATGATTCTTGGATAAGCAGATGTAAATGTTCTGAAATAATATTATTGTTACAAAATGTGTACATTAAGAGATTTATCTGTTATAAATTTTATATTTATTTCAGTAAAAAGAACTTGGTTTTCTATTTAGCTAAATATTTACAACAACTTAATTTTTCTCCCATCTTTCTCGACAACAAAGTTATAATTTTTACCTAATAATTTATCGGCAGTATCAACAACAAGTAATACAAATTCAGACGGTTGGATTTTTTTGATAACTCTTTCTTCTTCGTTTTCTGCAGTTGCAGATGATTTGTTTTCCATTAAACTTAAACCAGAATGACGTTTAAAAGCAGCTTGAAAATCTGTTTCCCACCACGCAACGATTTTAACTGCGACAAATGATGCATGTCTTGGAAAATCAAGTTTTCCGCCGCTAATACGTGAGCAAAGAGGTTCCTTTAATACGGTTTGCATTTCCTGTATCATTATGACATATGAATTATTGCGCAATAGTAAAGCACGTAACAATAATAGTACCTGATAATACTGCATATCCCGTTGTAATAAAATTCTAACACGGTCTACTAAGTTGCCATCTTCCATAATCTCCATTTTCGTTGTTTCTTCGATAATAATGTTCTTAAAAATAAGTATATAAAAATATTTATCAATAATAAATTTCAGATAATAATATCAAGTAATACTCAATTTGCATATTATTTATTTACATAAATAATTTATACAAAAAAATGTATATTAATCGTTGAATATGTTATTTTTCATAGCATTATTTTTTATGGCAATGTTCAAATTCTTGTGTATTATATTTCTTCTTAATAAACTTCTAAATTGTTTCACGATCTAACAAAACAATGTACTACAAAATATGTGCCATTCTAACATGCAAGTGTCAACATCTCACAAAAATATAAATACTCACACAAATATATTACAATGTTTTATCTGTTTTATATTATTATATATATACATAAATTGTAAGATTGTACATTTCCACTTTAGTAGAGTCAGTTATTTCAATTGATATAACGATTTTAGTCATCAATAAATGGTAAACTAAAGAGATTTTATTGTTGCTTCTCTTTCTTTGCCACTAAAGGAACATTTGTTAAAGTTCGTTTGGCCCCTTATAATCGCTGGTATTTCATCATTAAGTAATTCGTGTAATGTTTTTCCATCATGTTTATAGATCCATCTACCATTTACAAAATCATATCGCTTTGGACCAGACTTTGGAGAAGATAACCAAATTTGTTTATTTGGAGTCTGACGATTTATAACATATGTACCATGGGAATTACCAAACTTAATAGTTAATACTCCATCCTATAACAGCAATTGTGATATTATTATTTATAAATTATGTAACACAGTTATAGAACGAAGCTTTGCTAATAAAACATACCCCATACGATACATCTGCATCTGATAAATGTGTTGCTTGCTCTATTATTTCATCAAAATATTCCGTTAAAGAGTCAAGTGTTTCATCAGAAACTTTTTCAAATTGTACAGGTGTTAGTTCTCTGTATAAAAGAAAAACTTTACTATATATTATTCATTATTTATTTTCATCAATATACTTTTGTACTCTTACATAACTACATAAATTAAGAGTTAATTGAAGTTACTTAAAAAAAAAAACATAAATACATCTTTCCCTATTTATAATGAAATACACAAAGATATCAAAAATGTATTAATAATGGCAATGTTGAAATGTCACTAACAAGAATTATGAAGTTATAAAATTATATATAAACAAAATAATTTATCATTGTTAGTATCACATACTTACTCTGCAATTGAAAATCCGGTACTATTATTTGAGCTAAAATAAGCTATTAATTTATAACTTAATGTCTTTACTTCATTATTTTTATTTGTATACTTTTTAGAGTGCAATACAAGATAACCTATACTTTTCGAATACTTTACATCGATCGTTTGCGTTAAACATCTGTTTATAATCTTTGATGCTAAATCATACGATAAAATTCTTGAAAGACTGCTTCTTCTTACGCTTCTAGTTAATAGCATGATACAAATTTTTTATATATTGTATATTGATCAAACGAAACGCCGCATCAAAGGGACACATCGCCATGCGTATACTCTGCGCAAAACATTAGGTTATAAGGTGTACACATATAAAATATATATCTATGTACACGTTTATATAAGGGATTATTTTTACTTGTAACGCGGGAATTATATTTCACATTATATGTATTCCGTGTTGTACGAAAATGACGTGAAAAGACTAAAATAAATTCTTATTCGAAGTAATGCTATTAATTCTGCATACGTAGTAATAATTACGTAAGTCCTTTTTATCGTATAAAACTAAATATGACTTTCGAATCAATTTAAAAATGAAAGAGTTGAGTGTATAGCAAATTAATTATAAAGAGTTGAGTGTATAGCAAATTAATTATTAATTTCAATGAGGATTAAGTTGTAACGTATTCTTTAATAAATAAAATATTAAATAGAAAATTTAAAAAGGAATTCGAAAAGCTGTAGGACCAATTACGGTTGTGTTAATGTTAACGAAATCAGTGTAGAGTGGACAGTAATCTATGCAACCTCATGTTTCTTATTTTTGCACAGAGAGTCTAGAGATAATTTTTGTTTCATCAGCTAAATCATTCTTAAGAAACATGTGTCGTTACAACATTTTCTCCATTTTAATTTTCTTACTCTCTTTAAACTATTTGACACAAGTAAATTCTTACGTGCCATCTACGCCAATGTTTGAAATTTTAAACCCAAAAGGAATTCGCATATCAATACCAGGTAAATAAATAATAACCATTATAAAGTAATACAGTGCTGTGTCATTTTTTTTTTATTGCAAAATTATCTATTTTTGTTATATGTTGGTTTTATTGGACAATGTCTTATAAAATTGCTATATATCTCTATTATAATGACTGATTTTACACGACATTTTTATACGTGATTTTATACTGATAAAAAGTAATAAATTTCTTCCAAAAAATTAAATTATTACACCAAGATAAATTAAGATATTTATTAATATATTTAAAAATCTACAAAGTAGAACAATATGGGTTGTTACTTTGTTATCAATATTGCGTTATTACACTACTTCTTCAGGTCAAGCTCATACATTTTTTTTTCCTTATAGTAAGTTTATACAATGTTCAAATTTTTAAAAAGCTATAAATTACATAATAATAATAATTGCATAGATATATTTGCTAGAGCTTCCTCGTCAGAAATTTTTTTAGAAATTCGTATGTAATACAGTCATTTTATTACACATTTATTCAAAAATTTCATTTTTATTTTAATAATATTTTAATATGTTTTGTATAATAAATGCAACGTATTCTTTCAATTTTATAACAGATGAACCAGGCTTGCAATTTTTTGCGTTTCAAGGGAATATAAATAAGGCTATTGAATTAAACGAAATAGGACGAATATCGAATGAAGTGTATAGAAAGGACAATGGAAAATGGACAATTCAAAATCAAAATATAAACTTAATGAAAGGAAATGTTATACATTATTGGATTTACGTGCAAGTTAAGGAAGTAATGTATAACAAAAACGGAACCTGGAAAGGTATGAACGTTTACCTATATTGCACATTTATATTATTTGCTATGTTGTTATTCTTGTAACTAATACAAATGTTACTAAAATATTTGAATTAATGACAAATTTATTAATAATGTAATAATGGAAATATATTGATACTGAAAAAACGATTCTTCGAATCACTCTTAATCACTCTCGTTAATCACTCCAAATTGTTAAATAAGTAGAGATTATATTGCTGTATATCGTTATATGGTATAAATAAAATTTGTAAGTAGCAGTATACATGTAACAAATATAGAAAAGTATTTTCTAATTATAGTTAGTCAGTTAGTGTTCAATGAAACTTTCGACTCCTTTAATAAATCAATTTGGAAATACGAAGTGAAAATACCATTAAATCCAGTGAGTAAATACACTAAATACATTAGTTTTGATCGATAATCAAATTTAGGTACATAGTTCTTTTGTTATAGGACTATGAATTTTGTATTTACCACAATGAACAACAGCCAACAGTATCTGTTAAAAATGGGATACTCAAAATCAAACCAATGATTTTAGAAAAAGACTATGGTGAAGATATAACTGCATATGGAACATTAATACTTAGCGAGTGAGTGTAATATAAATTTTTAAAATGTAGGATGCATTACAAAATTGTCCGATTAAAATTAAATTTAATTAACGTCTTAAAGATGTCTTTTATTTGTAAAAATTATGAAGATATAGAGATTATAATTTAGATATAATTTAAAGTGCTTTTACTCATCATAGGTGTACCAGTAAGATTTCAGCTGAATGTTTGCGTAAAGCCACATCGTTCAATATTTTACCGCCTATTGTATCTACCAGATTAATCACGAGCAGTTTTCATTTTCGATACGGTAAAATTGAAATAAGAGCAAAATTCCCTGAAGGTGACTGGTTATATCCAGGTAAATATTAATCCTGATGAAGAACGACGTCTGCGTATTGTAGTGATTCCTGCGCAACCTTTCAAAATTTATTTCAACAAATTTCATAATTACATATAAACAAAATTAGCATGTAACCATTTATTATCACCATTCAGATCATTACAGAAATCATTATTAGACCTGTCTAATTATTGTTATTAATGTAATTTAAATTTATGGAAATTATCAAAAAATCTAAATCATCAATAACAGATGTCATCTTCGAAGAGACAATTCAAGTATACAATGTGTACGTTTATAAGACAAAGACTTAATAAAAAACTAATGACCTAATATATATAAAAGGAATGAAAATAATTAATTTAATTAGCTTTAGTAATAATTAATAAAATAGGAATTAAATATTGTATTCAATTCCAACAGAAATGTGGCTTAAACCAAAGTATGGTTATTATGGTTCCGATTATTCCAGCGGATGTGTTATCCTCGGTCTTGCACGTGGAAACGATAATTTAATTAACGCTACCAATGGAAGCATCTATGATTCAAGAAGATTAGATTTTGGAATCCGTGTAGGTAAAGATACAAACGATACGAACGTTACAAATTACATGGTTTCTCAGATACGAGAAAATGGCTTAAGCTGGACAAAAGATTTTCATACTTATACAACAATTTGGGATCTTGACGGATTCCAATTTTTCGTAGACGATAAAGAAGTTGATAAATTAAAACCTCCAACGGATGGTTGGATATATGGGAGTTATTTCAACAAAATGGCACCTTTTGATCAAGAAGTATGTATTTGAAAAACCAACATATTTTAACTAACAAATATACATATAATTTTTGACTTTAACAATCTTTACTATACCGTAATAGTTTCGTATCGTAATTGGTGTGGGAGTTGGTGGTATTCGCGTATTTCCTGATAAAACAACTAGCTCCGAACACGCAAAACCGTGGAAAAATGTTGGTGCCAAGGTAAATATAACTTTTTTTATAATACCATTATTTTTGTAACATTGATCAAATACAATTAACTGACGATATTTGATATATTCTAGGCAATGTTGAACTTTTGGCATGCAAAAGATCTGTGGTTGCCAAGTTGGAAAAAAAATACCGCGCTCGAAATTGATTATATTCGGGTATGGTCATTTTAAAATTGCGCTATTATTAAAAATTTATGTAAACATAAAAGAGTACTAGATAAATTATAAATGAACATAAGTTATAATCATAAGTCAATTTGTACACATCGTAGTAACTCTAAGTTTCTCCGTTACTAGTTTTAAATATACTTTGTACTAATTAAATATAGCGCAATGTTTCCGCAAATAATATAAATTATTTAAATATATAAATATGTCCGCCTTCGTAGAGATGAATCAAATATTGCCATACCTATAAAATGCCATCAAATTTATCATTAATCATTGTGTCCTTTTCAATTTCGCAATTAATCAATAATTTGTACAAAAGAAATAAATAAATTTATTCAAATAAATATAAAAATGAAATCGCAATCTAGGCCAAATGTTATAATACAAACTATCGGTAAATGTATATCAACAAAACGATCGAAGAAGAAAGATAATTTAAAAGAGAAAATAAATTATGTATATATATATATATATATATATATATATGTATATATATATATATATATATATATATATATATATATATATATATATATATATATATATATATAATATAGAATGTAATGAACATTTTATTTTAGGGCATACTTCGATAATACTTTCTTATATCTAACAATAAGTGAATTTATTCTTCAAAATAATTTCCATTGTATTCAACAAAATATCCTTTACATATAGGTTCAAAATCACCATTCTGACTTTCCTTTGAAATCTACGTATCTGTGAACGTATGACGTGAAATTTCGAAATGTCATATTTATTTTGTTCTTAGATAATATAGAAGATAATATATTTTATTAATTCTTTTCATTAATCATGCGAAATACATGATAATTTTTTTGAAGTGGTAAAAGACTCTTCAAACTCGACTCTTCCTTCAAACCGGTTTTTCTTGAATAACATCAAGAAATAAAGAAATAAGAGAAAGAGATAGCAAGTTTCAGTTGGTTCATTGCATAGTGAGATCAGAACTAGTTAATTGATGGATTAGTTTTCATATCTTCTCAACATATCAAAATTTTAACAAAGGTGATATTTTTTACTTTTGTTTTAAATCCTTAAAATTTGTTTCTCTTATTGTAAATTTTATATATTTCATTTTTATATTTTTTAGAATCCTTATGCACGCTATATTAAACAGTATATTAATTTTTATATTAAACTGCATATTAGTCTATTGTTCTATTTCAAATGTCAAGATTAATTATTTTTCTCTTTATAACTATAATTCATTTAATTTATGGATTGGACAGTAATATGAATTTTCAATCAAAATATTCCAGTAAGTATAACAATTTACTAATATAACAAGTAATTATTCCATACTAACTTATTTTGATAAAATAAAATACAACAACGGATATAACATTAAAGTATATAAAGATCTTTTTCTACGTTCTACTTACACGTAAACAAAAATTTAAAAAAATATATTATTTATATAATACTTTATAAATTGTACTTTTTTCCTGATTTGTTTTTTAGAATATTTATACATTTTATTTATATATGTAACATGTATAACATTCTATGTTTCCAGGATATGAATTCATTTTACGTAAGTGTATAGCCAGTGCTCAATTAAATAGGAAACACCAAAGTAAAGACATATTAAATACTACTTTAAATAAACCTATTCAAGATTTGTTACACAAGCCACCATATATTTCAATTGTAAAGCCAGAGAACAATTCAACTTTCCAACAGGTACAAACTCTAAATTTGAAATTGAATAATAGTCATCCATTTAATAATTCTAAAATAAACCATAACAATGTGGATATGGGAAGCTATTTTACGAAACATATAAAAAATACACCTTTAAGGACTTTGAACATTAAAACTACTCAAAGTTTATTGCCTATATTTACAAAAAAAAATTTGTTACCTGAATTTAAAAAAATCACCAGTAAAACTACAAATTCATCCAGCAATATTATAGTTATTAAATCAGCAATATAAATGTTAAAACATCGTGATGATAGTTATGTTCTGATGTAAAAGAATACACATATAAAAAAACACAATATTGTAATTATGTTTATTGTTAATGTCATCATCGAAAAAACAAAATTAATATGTCAAACATAACAAATTGTTTATTATTGTGAAGACTGAGCTTGTTGAACTGTTTCTGGTAAGGTTTGTAATTCTACCTATAAAAAGTAAAAAAATTAGTTATTTGTACCTCACATGTATTTAGGAATAAATAATTTAAATTATGCCTTTGTAATTTTCATTGCCACTCCTTCTGGCAAATTTCTCTCTATGTATTCTAAATATGTGTCTGCAGTTGAGCCAGTCAAATTAAAAAGATCAAGATATCTATAATATGTTCTTGTTTCATATTGAACTCGATGTTTCTTATGAACGTGGACAGACTTAAGTACTGTTAATCTTTCAAATACAGGTTTTCTAATTGCAACACTGTTAATTTTAAATTTATATTTTTATATTACCTTGTACATATCTTTATGAATTATTTTAAAACATTTTATATTAAAACTTACTGCCTGCCAACAATTATATCTAAATGATTTGCTGCCATAACAGCGAATTCTCCATAGCTTTTGAGAACAGCAGCATCATTTCCTCTGACTTCGATTTCCAACTTCTTGTACAGTTTATCAACCTAAATGTATTAAGTATTATTGCATTAGAAAATATTGAAAAACATTAAAAATATTTGATCAATTGTGATCATTTCCTATGTTGTATAGATTTGAGACTGACAATTGACAATCATCTGTTTTTAATCATTAATTATACCTTATGATAAATACATAAAACAAAATAAAGTAATCTATGTATCAATACATTCTTGATTATTCTATATAGTTATTCATGAATAAAATATATCATCATATACTTCTGTGGAAACAGATGAAGTATTTCCATCTGAAGCTTCTATTAAATTCTCAGGTGCACTCTTAATTGAAGTTTTGGATTCTTTTAATTTTTCACTTAAATTCTCAGATTCCTGTGAAGTTTTAGCTAAGTTTTCAGTTACATTTGAAACATCACTTGAATTTTCATGTAGAATATTAGTTGAAAATAATGTATTCCGTAATAATTTTGTGTATCCAGCATTATATGAATTTCTGGCTATGTTGTTTATATGCGAAAGAGAAAATATCTGAAAAATATTAGAGGTTACTCTTAACCTAAATTACGCTTGAGCAAATTTCTTTAATCGTTGCACCTTTGAACGAAGCATTTGTCCCTTTTGTTTATATAATTATGAAATGAATTAATTAAAATATTATTATTCAGAAATTTGATAAAATTTAGATATGAATGTAAATATTTTTTCTTTTATGTAAATACATCATAAATTTCGCACAGTAGATAACACGTGTATAAATAATGAGAATCACAAACACGGATACACAAATAATGTAATAGTACACATATCTATGTACATTAGATGTATATATAGAGTGTATCTTTACATGAAAACATAAAATAACAGTATATTGTATTATTACGTTTTTATTAGATTAATAAGTATTTATAAAGAATAAAAATTGTAAATTTTTTGTATACTACATCTAGTACTAAATTAAAGATCATTATTTACATATTTATCAATTTTCATATTCATACGAACATTATTATATGTTAACACTACTTCAGTATGTATTTTTAATACACTACATAATGATAATAATAAAATTAAATATATATATTTAGTATTACCGATTATAATATTTAGGTAATTATTTTATGTATACACATGAAACAGAATTAAGTCAACTGATTTTTTTTTATGTAAATGCAATTTTATTTGAAAAGTATAATATAAACTTACTTTTTACATTGTTTTAAAGGAGATATACACAAAACACCACAGCATAGATTTTAATGATAGGGTATTAAACAAGTTTTGTGTTTATTTGAAAATTGTTACATCATACTTTAAATACTTACATTATTTCAGTAACATGTAACGTTAGAATAACAAAATAGCAACTACAGAGAAGTAAAATGAATGTTCATTTCAATTGATCATAGAACATCACCAAGTAACCTTATAATATAAATTTTTTTTAATTTTAATTCTATATAAGATTGCTTATTTCATTAACCTTAAATATATATTTTATATTGTTAATAAACTGAAAGAAGTATATAAATTGTTTGTGATGCATAAGACAAAATGACATAGTGATAAAAATGTTTTAACAAATTAAATTCCCAATGATTAATATTATTTTTAAGAACAGAAATATTTTAATATGAACTCTTGAATTGAGTCAAAGAAAAAGGACGTTGTGATTGGAAATTCGAATTTTGAAATTTCCAAGATCCTATAGTATTCCCATTTTGCCAACCACTAGACGTAGATTTTTTCTCAATGTCATTTTGGGAGAACCAACGCGATTCTCTAATATTTTGACTGTCACTGTTTTGCCATTGAGATTTCGTACCAAAAGACGATCCTTTATTTTGCCAATTATCTGTATTATACTTTGAGGTCCATGAATTTCCACGTTGTTGTTCATTTTCTCTTATCCACGTATTTGATGTATTAGTAGTTTCAAATTTAAAACATCTTTCTTTCAAGTCTGAAGTACCATCGTCACCCCATGGATCTTTTGCATCTTCCGGTAAGTCATTCAAATCTTCCTTGTCACAGTGCTTCCAAGAGTCTTTGATATTTAACGATTCCCATCTATCTTGGTTTTTATTGTCCATCCAAGATTCTGCACAAGCAGATAGACTTTCCTTCCCACGAATATTCCAGTTATCATTACTACTGCTTGGCATAGACGTTGCTGACCATCTATTGTTAGAGTTTGACGACCATGTTTCTTTCATCATAGGTTTCGTATAGATTTGTTGTTTAGACTTCCAAATATTTCCACTATTATTCCAAGTATCGTTGCGAAGAGGATTTTTAACAGTTTCCCGCTTCTCTTGATTAAAAGTTTTACGACGTTTATCATTACATGCAATTTTTTCCCAACTATTATTAAACGTTGGAGTTTTTTCATCTCGCCAAATATTTTGTTCAGATATTCGTTCAACAGGTCGAGTCCAAGTAGTTTGTTCAATGGTCCCTCTACTCGGTCCATCCCAATCCTCGATAAATCTTGATGGTGATATTTGTCGTCTTTGAGGAGACTGTTGTCTTTGAGGCGATTGTCGTGATAACGTCGGATGTTCAAATATTGATCTATGTGGTAACTCTGCCCGTCTCATTGTCGATATTTGCTGTCTTTCTTGCGGCATTGGCTGTCTTTCTTGCGGCATTGGCTCTCTTTTAGAAAGTAACATTTCCTGCTTATTAAGAGATATCATTCGATTAGGAGAGGAAATTTGTCTTCTTTGGGGAGACATTGGTCGCTTTATTGGTAATTGCTTTCTAGAAGGGGATATCGTGGATCTCATTGGAGACATTTGTCGTGGCGATACTTGATATCTGAATGGTGACATTGGACGATGCATATTCATTTCAATTCGTCGCGATGGTGACGGACGTCTCGGAGATAAAGGTTGTCTTAAGGGTGACATACGCCTTGGTGACATTGGTCGTTGCGAAGGAGATATCTGACGTCTTATAGGAGAACGTTGCCGATACATGGGTGACGTAGGGCGATGAAGAGGAGAAAAATGTCTTCTTGGAGGAGAACATGGACGTCTTGGAAGTGATAACAATGGACGTTTAGAAGAAGAAAGTCTCTTTGGAGGAGGAGTTACACGATACTTTGGTGGAGAAATTTGTCTTCTCATAGGTGAAATAGGTCTCTTCATGTTTCCGATTTCATCCCAACGATTTCTTTCAAAGGCTTTATCTCGATCTTCGTCTACTTCGAGTTTGAACGATCTGGTAAATCTTTCTGGTGTAACGCGGAAAGGCTTTTCTTCTTTCAATTGCGGCGGATCAATTGCGATTGTTAGTGGCACAATTTTAGTTGGTTCTAAAGGTGGTAAATTGTGGTATTTTCTTGGTTTCGTTGCAGGTTCTTCATTGTTTAAAAATTTCTTATTTGGCATTGTGATCAGAATATCCTGGGAACTCATTTCTTGGACATAACGACCTTTTAAAACAGAATCATCTTGTTTATTTTCTCTTTGTCCTGAATTCATATTTCCCGGTGAAGCAATACGATTCCAGACAGAACGTGGAAGTTGACTCTGAAGTTTATTTGTTTGTTCTAAAACAATATTTAACATACTCTGCAATTGTTTTGCAGTATTCATGTCAAAAGTCGGTGCTGGTCCGCTTAATTTTTCTTTCGCTACTTCTAAAAGTGCTTGATGCTCTTTCAATGTTTGAGCAATATCTGTATCCAGTCGGTTGTGAGATAACTTTTCTCTTAAATCGATTTGTTCTTTAGGTGGCTCTCGCATCTTCTTTTCATGAAAAGGATTTATATATAATTGTGGATCTTCTGTGTCCCATTCTTTATTCTTTTTTGTTGTTAGATCTAATATTAAAAAGAAAACAGTTAAATAGACATAAAAAATTATATATTAATATTGGTAATGTTTTACAATTTATTTTTATAGATAAAAAGTGGAACATAAATATTACGTCAGTAATAAAATGATATGCTGAACAAGAAAATATTTGTTACATTTTTAGTTGTATTAAAAATTACATTTCACTAATTAAAAAAATATTTTTACATTTTCATCCAATTTGTAATATATGATTAATAATATGAGTAATATGATTTCTAATATATTTTGAATAAACTTACCAGAATGCCATGGTTTAACACTTAATTTATTAAACTTCTTTGCTAGTTTTTTAGCTGGTGTTTCTCCTTTATCTGGAGAATGGGAACGTTTTCTCTTGAATTTGTTTCTTATAGGTGGATTTTCTTGTTTAACATAAAACGTTTTTTTTATTGATATTTTCGATTTTTTTGCAGGACTTTTGATCAAAGATTTCTTAAAGTTTATTTTAGTCTGCAATTCAATTGACTTGCTTGATATTTTCTTATCTATTTGATTAGCGTTTTGTTGACCTATCTTTTCCTGGTTAATCTTGACTTCTGGATTTTTGCTATTTTCCATGGTTTTTTGAAACCATGTTTGATTAAACTTGTTTATCATTCGTCGCTGTAGCAAAATAACTGCTTCAAAATGAGGACCAATAGGTAAAGTATCAACAACACATGCCATAATAGGAATAAATGGAGATCCATGACTATGATCTCCTGGTCGGGCTAATTCTAATATAGCACGTACTGATTGTTTGGTTAATGTTGTTATCATAACTATTCGTTTAAGAGATGGTATTTTTCTAAGAGCTGTCATAACTTCAATTGCTGTAAAATAGAGATACGTATATGCAAAATATATATAGGAAATGTTTTTAAATATTTTTTATTAATATTTAGAAAATTATAAACATTGTAACAAACAATGACAATTTGTTTATAATGTTTTTCTACATACCTCGACCAATATTAGTATTTGCATTAATTACTGCACATGTTTTACGATTTTTTACTGCTGCAATGATTTTAGTTGTTACTTCAGCAGGAGATCCCATTATAAACGAAGCATTCTTTATGTTATTTAATTCACATGTCATTTCAGCTTCTTCTACTTCTGATGGAGAATCTACTCCTATGACTTGTTGACATTTCTAAAATTAAATTACAAAATTGAGAGTGAAAAGGAAGTATAGTGATAGACAATAAAAATATATTTTTATAATTTACAGATGCCATCATCAATCCAATAAGACCAATGCCACATCCTATTTCAAGTACTGTTGTTTTTGGACTAGGTGCAAGGAAATCTATCACTGTATTTGCTACATTCTCTGCTCCTGCGGCGTTTGACCAAAAGTTTGTTTTAGGTGCGAGTTGTACTTTCAGTCCTCCAACAATTTCATCCAAAGCTTCTGATCCAACTAAAAATGTTGTATCTGTGACAGCAGTATCATTGTACCTAATATTTAAAAAAATGATATATTATTTAGTTTTTAATAAAAGTAATGTAGGTTAAATATTTATATAAAATTAAATATTAATTTTATAAAAAAAAAATATTCTTACTTATTTGTAGATTTGCAATATAAAGATTTAACATTGCAATCTTTGCCAGGTCCAGATTCATAAACTTGTTTTAATCTATCCATTGTACAGCGACTAACGTTCTCTCCAGTCGCAAATAGCATAAGTTCATCCATACTGTTGCAACGCACTACTAGCCATAACCAATTCTGTCTTCCTTCGTTATTTACGTCCTTTTTTAATTCTACATCTATAGATACATCATCAAAAAAATTTACATTTTTAGAAGTTTCCGAGATTAATTGTTCTGTTGTTTGAAGAAAATCTTCAAATATCTGTAATATAAACAAATATAATCTGATAATTATTATATACAACATAGCTTTTATAATATATTAAAGTTAACAATATTTTATAATATATTTTATAATATATTAAAGTTAACAATATTTTATATTAATATCCATTGTTTCACATCATCCATTGTGTACATCAAGCAATGCTGGAGCTAATACATGTTTATGAAGTGACGCTTTGTGAACAGTAAATTATAGACAAAAATTTAACGTCTTTTTCAAAAGACATTAAAATTTATAGCATGACATACCTTTACAGCACGGAGTACAAAAGGTGGAAATTGAGATTCATTACTTATATTTACACCCCATGCTCCACTAGGTTCCAATTTCCAGACTATTTTTTTATTTTTATTAAAAGAATTATCAGAGTTGCCCGTATCTGTTATGGGTTCACATATCTCTTTTTTGTTGCCTAAATATATGTAAATTTTGATTATATCAATTTAAAATTGTTTTGAAATGAAAATTATTATATATACATATTTTTTATTAAAAACAAGTAAACAATAAGGAATTACAATACTTGCAAATTTATATGTGCATATAAAATTGCAGACAAAGTTGTTTAACAAATTAATAAAATGAATGCAAAATGAATTTTTAGTAGAAATAGCAAGAGATACTTACAAATGAATTTCCAACGATTTGTATATGGTTTATCTAAGCAACAGCGTCGAGACGGTTTTAATCTACATAGAGGAGATCCATTTATTTTTTCTTCATGTTCTAACCATGTTTCATAACATGGGTAAGAAATTCCTAAAACTTTAGCTACTTTTGAAAGTCGTTCTTTTATAATTGTTTCCTTTTCAGTAAGCTGCAAAAGATTATAATTATAAATAATAAATATAATAAATAATAATTAATAATAAATTACGCATGTTATTTATTCATTTTTACATTACATCTCATAGATTACCTTCTTCTCATACCAATCAGATTTTGATTTTTCAGATTTTATTGCTTTTGTTTCTTGTTTGATTTCTTTGTTTACAGCACATGTTATTTTTTCATCAACATTAATATTTTTATCACTGTTGCTTTGTTCAATAAAGTTATTTTCCGTATGAAAAAATTGATCTCTTGTGTTCTTTTCCGATTCACTTTCCTTCTGCATTTGAAAATCTGTAGGATCTAAAACTATGTTTTCAATTTCGTCTAAATGAAGTAAAATATCTTCATCTGTCATATCTTTTTGTTGGTCCAATTGGTCTAAAGTAATATCAGCAGTAAAATCAATTGATTCTACATTTGATTGTTGCAGACATTTATTTTTTGCATCTGATATATTGTTTTGACTATTATCATTAGAACTCGAATTATTTGACAATGCATTATCCGTTGAATTGATGTTTGGAATTTTTTCATTTTCCTCTGTATTTTTATCTTTGTCCTTTTCGATATCTACATCTTTTTCCTTCTTCACAGTTACATTTTCATTGTCTTTCACAATTGTATTTTCATTCTTATTTTCACTTTCATTTTGTTCTATACTTTCATTCAATACAGATTGTTTTTCAATATCTGTATTTTTTACGGATTTACGTGGTCCATTATTAGATGTGTCCTCTTCTTCAGTACATTCATCTACTATTTCATAATTTTCCCCCTCGATTGTAACTGCTCCTGAATTTTCTGCAAGACATTTAACCTTCACTATAAAAGCTCATTCTAATCTTGTTAGAAGAATGGATGCACAATAATGATTATTATTTTTACACTTGAAACATCAATCTTTCTATTTAATTTGGATTTCAATGAAATTGTGAGATCTTGAAAATATTTGTGACAAAAATGTATAATGAAATATTGTGTATAATATAATGGAAAGCAACTTACCCATTCTTCTATCGATATTTAAACGTGAATGTTCTCAGTATCTAGATTCGATAGACTCTTGGATGAAAACGTTATTAACGTTCTATTGATAATCGACTTTACCTATAACTTATACATACATAAAATCAATAAACAAATGGAACAAAATCAAATCTTCTATCAAAGACTTTAGTTATTGTATCTTTATATTATTTTTATATTATCTTCATATCATATTATCGGTATATTATAAATATTTTACGTACGTCATAATATTCACAAAAATAAATTTCTTACCGTATACAAAAGTATTTACACACGCTCACACGCATACAAACACATATACATATATATCACTTTATTATTTATTCCTTTTTAAATAATTCTATTATATGTATAATTCGTTTGTTACAAAAGTTTTATATAATCTTCCCTTTATTTTATCATGCCACTCAAAGCCAAATGCCAAGTAAAATTTAATCGCACGATGGGCAATGGCGAACATGGCGTTCCGAAAACAATCGAGTAGTGCCCAGTTTAAAATTCTAGTTTCTTCGAGATTGATAAATATTTTTACATTCGTTATATATTAATATTTCGATTATTAAACGTTTCTTGTTATTATTATTATGTATAAGATATTAACAAAACATGAAAATATGCACAGGAAAATTTTACTTGAGAAAATTTCAATACACGAAATCCCTAGAACTGTTAAAATTAGTGATTTATAGATGTATAAGAAAAATCATGACAAGAGACATTTAACATAAATTGCTACATATATAGTACAAAACGCGATGTAATGTATACGTAACAAGACGTAGGCACATGTTTATAAATAAATTTTATTTTTAAATATTTGATAAATTATGTTACTAAAAAAACTTAACAGGCTTAATAACTCTATACTATATTCATACATATACATCTATTTTTTTCTAGTACGCACAATGTTATCTAATATTTTTAAAATAGTATATTAAATGGTAACTTATTCTTTATGCAAATAATTAAAATTATATAACTTTTATATTTTTTAGTATTTATAATTGTGCAACATATATATTGTTTTATTGTTTTTCTGTGATTTTGAAGTGAGAATAATTTATTGTTATGTAAATATTATTTTTAATTATTAATTGCAATATTAACAAAACGCATTATACAATTGTTTTCTATTCTAATGATGCAATAACGATAAGTTTTTTTATTGTATACAAATAGAAAAATAAATCTTTTGTCATTTTTTAAACATACATAATATTTGATATTTACATGTAATTTAAATTGTTGTAATGTATAAATATAACGTTATTTTTATAACATGGTACTATATACACACACACATATATATATATAAAATTTTATTTACACTATATTTAAACTATTTTATTTACAAAATTTATTGCTTAGTTAAACGTTTGAAATTTATTAATATGCACGTAGCGTGGGAATTGAAATTCCCACATAAAACATTTTGTAGTTTGGTGTTTTAACATATTTATGTTAATAAAATACGTATCGTTTACATCATTCGATACAATTACATGTTATTACCCATTTTATAATATGTTACTACTAATTATAATTTGGAAAAGAATTAGTAAGATTAGTAGGATTATGAAATAAGTTACTACGAAATTTTGAATTTTCTGTTAATTTGAATTTAATTTGAAACCGCGACGTTACGTTAAAACTCGAGTTTATCTAATCTTTAATTTCAATTATAATTTCACAACTATAGAATGCTTGAAAAAATATGCATGACACATATGTACTTACTTATGTATTTATAGTCACTGCACTGATTATTGCAATAAAACTCGTTGACAATAAATACATACATAAACATATGCATACAGCCTTTGCAGTAAAGCATAAAACCCCTTCGTTCTTGCATCATTGTTCTGTAGTTGTCTCGATTTTTAACGCTTGTCAAGTATCAAGTGTATCGAGTCAAGTCGAGCGTTCCGATTTCGATCGTAAAATCGGGATCCTAATAGCTGTGCAGGACAAGCAATTGTGAGTGTGTTTGTATGCTGTTCTGGTACGGTGATCAAGTCCGCGAAGCTGAAGATGGTTTGTACGTGGAAATTCTCTGGGCGCAGTCGCGGCTCTTATAGATTTTCCCCTTGCTGACTCGGTGTGCGTGATACCGACACAAAGCTCGGGGGTTGCGAGGATGGGGCAAAGAGGGTGGCGTGTGTTGTACGCGCAGCAGCGTCTACGGAAGCGAAAAGGAACTGCGCACACCCAGAAGGTGGTGGAATAGGTGGACGAGGTGGAGGAAGAGCAGGAAAAAGAGGCAGAGGAGTAGGAGTAGGAGGAGGATATAGCGAGAGGAACAGAAGCGACGGGCTAGGCCAACCGTCTACACCGTGAACCGCCCGATCGGGAATGAATAATCTCGCGCATAGGTGGTGCCCGACGTGAAGGATTTGGACATGTGACTAAGGGTGAGTGCATCATCGAGGTGCATCTTCGTGGTGCACTGCTACACGTATTTCGTGGTTAAACACGTGGTACACGTTCCCCGATGCATTTTTCGCATATGGTAAGAATAATTTCTCTTCCTTGCATTCTTCTTCTGTCTGTTCATTATGTTCCCGGTATCGCATGCTGCCATGAAACTGTCACTGCTCTGCGTGATATTTAGCATGATAGCGTTTTATATGGTACATATTTTATTATTTGTATATCGTACCAGGCGCACCTTTTATTGTATCATGTCATATCCTATCGGTTATGACAGTCGCTTCTTTCCCTAAACCAACACTGCGAATCGGTAGCTGTTCATTTTGCAACATTTGGTTGACGCTTTAGTTTTCTTTATGAAGATCTCGCGCTAACTCTGAGCTAAATGTTAAACATCCGTTCGATGCCAGATTTTCGGGCGCGGTTTTTATCACTCCGCGTTTTTTCCTAAATAAACTTTGTACATGTAGTTTCTCACTTGCATTTATAAATTATCGGATAATAAATATTTTCACGTACAATTCAATAGAATTTTCACTTTCACGTGTGAACTTTGAGATTTAACTGTATTGTTTGAACTTGGCGCAGTTTAGTTTAAAGTAATTCAATTGTTATACAATGATATTATAATAGTATCTAGACATGTACAATCTGTAATTAGTATTATAGAATTATAATATATCGCAATATTAAAAAACTATTAAAGATTATTTGCAATAACGTAGGATATTTATTTTTATATTTTTCAATCTTTGAAGCTCTTTTTCTAAATATACTCTTCTGTTATCAAAAATTGTTCACCGACTTGTTTTAATTAATAAAAGTTATTAATTGAAACAAAGTATTGAATTAATAAACATCTCTCTCTTGAATCATTTATTACAAGTTACAAAAATATTGGCAAATAGATCTGGATATACATACGTATATGTATATTATAATTCTTCTAGGGCACTATCAAGAAAATCTCAAGCAAATATAACGATGTATTAATTATATATTTGCATTTATTAAATGTACACAGCGTGTACATACTTTTTAAATCAATGTACGTACAATTAAGATTGTAATTATGATGAAGATAAGTTGATTCATAATATATTCTAGCCTGGCATTTGCATGTGACGCTTCCCTTAAAATTATTCATGATCAAGGATTTCAAGTGTTTGCTATGTATGTACGTCAAAAACATCGATTTTTATACATGTATAATTGAATATCTCAAACATTATACTGCCAAAGGGAAAGGAATTACGATTAATTTGTGTAATTTAATTACGATTAATTTTGCGAGTTTAAGAAAAGTTACGCGAAGCAACGAAATTTTAAACATTGTATAATTTGTAATTGTTAAAGACAAGCCCAGATGATTCTAATATTTGGTTTCGCCGGTTGATTTCAGCACGAAATGTTGAAGTTATCGCGGAAAATACGAGGGGGTGAGTTAGGAAAGTGGGCGTGAAGGTTGATTCATGCTGGTACGGTGTTCTATAGTAGTTCCTCACCTCTTTAGCTATACATATTTTGATAATAAGAAGCCGATAGCACCAGTACTGCATTACAGAGTTACATAGTCAAATTTAGTATGGTAAATGTTACCTACTATGGTGTGTTACCTACCCTAAAGAAAACAACTAACGTCAATTGTTTTGTTCTATCAAACGTATGTGAATATGTGAATATGTAAAAATTCTATGTATATATTTTTAGTACACTAAGTATATGTGTATATACACAGTAAGTACAAGTATATATACATATGTATGTATGTATAATATTTATTTTACCTGAAACATTATCATATATATATATTTTTTTAAAGATTGCTTGAAATATTCACAAAGATTAGTTTCTATAAATATTTATAAAGATTAGTAGTTGTGCACTTGTAGTTTTGTCAATACCAGCAACATATAGTCTCTACTATCGATGAAGTGCCTACGTACAGTGAGAGATTACATATATATAAAACGAAAGGAAAGTTTAAATGTTTCATATTAATTTTTAATCGATATTGATTAAAAAATGTGAAATTATTTCCATTTGTCTTGCTTGCAGTACCTATAAAACTTTACGAGCTTGATCGTTAAATAAAACGAAATCGATTTAACGCCTAAGACATACGAAACGTTTGAATGTTTTTACATCCCACTAAAATATGATTACACGATAAGATATATGAAAAGATATGGCACTACAAGTAAAAAGTTACTACAAGAGCACGCAGAATCAAGCATTTTACTTTTACAAAGATTTTCGGTCGTATCTCGGATTTCTAATTAATTTCGAGTACTAATAAACTAATCTGTTTTCACTGTACTGTAATTTGGCATGGTACTTTCACTCTCTCATTCTAGGGTAGACTCGGAATAGATTCTGATTTCTAGAACATTAATTGTACCAGAAATAATTCAAAATATACTCTATTTGCGTGAAAATTATGTAGAATTTTGTAGAGAGACCCAACTAAACTAAATTAAACGAATAAATTTTATTATTTGTGTTAACAAAGATATTCTCAAAAGGATTAGCACGTTAAAGAATAAATGGATATGTTGGTACATAGATATGCACCTATCATGATTATCTAGTTCAAATAATATCACATATCAGTAAGATATTTATGCATGTAAGTGTACTTAGACACAAAGGTAGTACTGTCAGCTAGTGATGATAACATATATACTAGTACTAGTATACTATATACTATATACTATATACTAGTTCACTGTACTTTTGGAGAACTGAAAATTGAACATGCGGGCCTACGTTATAAAATAGAACATGAAGGCACATAGCGATGCAAAAGAGGTGAAATCTATTAGTTTCCTGTTACGCGTTTCGCTATTAAAACTCTTTGTTTGTACGTCCGGGAATGCAGTAACAGTTGGAAAAAAAATTCAAATGCCCCGTTATTTAGGTCATCGTGATACGTATGTATGTACATTTGGTCTACACTTTATTCACATTTTAGATAATCGAGATATTATGTATACATGGCCTGTAACGTAAACTTCTGTTTATCGCGTGTCTGCATTATGCAATTTACACTGCAATGAGGCACACGTTCGTTAGATACATAGACTTGGATGATTGAACGGTAGCTTTTATCATTAGAATTATCGACGATTAAAGCATAAAATTTCTGTCAGTGACATTGAAGGCAAAAAGATAAAGAAACTATAACGTACAAGCTTCTATTCATATATTGTACGAAAAATTATTTAAATCTTTAAAAATACACTTTCACGTCTGTAAAATGTCTAGCAAAAGTTATTAAATTGATCATTTTGATCGCTTTAGTAGTTCTAGTGTCGAAGCAAAAATTGCACGTTCAAATGCATTTAACGATTAAACGTTAAGCCTGCGTGTCAATATCGTTAGTTAAATTCCAGATTTTAGAGCATAATCTAGTAAATTGATCGCTTCGTCGTGAATCACAATGTGTTTATCCGTCGATATGAAATCCATCAAATTTACATACGCAATTGAACTTAATTTGCTTGCTCCTTGAAAAAAAAAGAAAAAAGAAAATGTAGTTGAGACTATAATCGATATTTTTTGCGACAACTGGGATCTGTTGTTAGAAGCGAAGATCTCGCCTTGGACAATGAGCAAAGTAATAATGAATAACAACGAAGCGAAAATAGAGGATCGTTGTTACGATATTTGTGAGTAAAATCGTAGAATTGTAGACTGCTTTCTACTTAGGTGTAATAAATTTTATGTAACTTGCCATCTTTTAGTACATTTAGATAGCAACAGTAAGCCCATGATAACGATTTATATTGAACCAATCGTATTCGTCATTTTCGTTTCGACCGTAAATCCGAATTAAGTTTTAAGCCAATAAAACAATTCGCGTATATCGCACGAAGTTATTTAAGCGTTTTGCTTATCTTTCGACAACTTCTCTATAGTTCATAATGAACGTGAACTGTTCGATGTACGTTACAATAAAAGAGAGAGAGAGAGAAAAAAAAAGTAAATTTACAAGCTTGCAAGTAGGATACTTGCAAGTAGTACGGACGAAATTTCAGATGTAAATGATTCTAATAGAGTAAACGAGACTCGGTCTGCAATAATTATTGTAAGTAACTTCACATTGCCTTTATTATATTTATTTGAAGGAAATATATTTCTTTAACCTTGTCCAGCTATGTGTCATTTATCGAATAAAGAATGTCGTTTATTTAAAATAAAATATTCCAAAGATTTTTAAGCAGTTGCATGACTAACGTGAAACAAATATTGAAATAAAATAAAATTGTTCAAATTATAAAACATTGTTGATTTGCGATAATTATTAAATGCACGATTTTTTCAGAGAAAAATGTAAAAATAGCGATTATAATATTAGACATGTTTGTTTCTTCAGAAAGAGCTTGAGACGACAAGGATAATTAATTTTCAAATATTAAATAGTACACATATTATATATTAATATATTCATTTTAATAGATATTTATTGAAAACATTGCCATTTTTCCACATCTAACGTTCCATGGATATTTATACTGATTTTGAACAAAATATTACCTAAGAAAAATTTAAGATACGTCAAAATATTAAGATATTTTTGCAAAATATTAAAATAGTTTTTAACTTTCAATGAAAAATAAACGGTGTGTAACACTAAAAAAAAAAAAAAAAAAAAATATCAGCCACACATTTCGTTCATATCCACTTGGTTATTTCATTTGCAATTACTAATGATAAGATACCCATAATCATAGTGTACCCAATGGTTACAGTCATCAGTTGCCTGCGAGCCTTCGTTTCCGATTCCGTCGTTGAATGGTATTTTCGTCGAATGGTATTTAGTCATAAAAATCGTTGATCGATGATATAACGATAAGAATTCAATTCGTTAACTTGGTTGACGGTCTCTCTGTGTAGGCAATGTTGAGGGACGCTCGATAAGATGTTTTTTATATTCAGTGAATTACTCGCGCTGGCAAACGAGGTGAATACAAATTCTACTAACAATAACGTGAACAATGAGGTGAATTAGTTTATACTTGTAAGCGAAAATACGTCGAATTAGAACCTAACGTGTTTGTCAGGTCATTAACCGTCAGCACGAAACTGAACATTTTGAAAACAGCGGTTACCTTTGTTCAAACTTTAGACTCCACGTTTCCCTCCTCTCACATACCTTACAACATAATACATTGGTATATCGTTCATTTTATTTATATTTCTTTATACCGTGCTTTGAAAGTGATAATAAGAGATAGAGAAAAACTTCACTTTCATCCGCACTGTACAATCCAGTCAACAAAAAATGGAATGACGGAGTTTGAAAGTCTTCCTCCAACTTTGACTGCAAGTTTCTTTTTTTTTTCACCACGGATAATTCTTAGCTCTGCAGAATAGAAATAGATGGATACAAATTGAATATGACATAAATAGATAGTTGATGTATCGATCGCTACATATATATATATATATATATATATATATATATATATATATATATATATATATATATATATATATATATATATATATATATATATATATACATGAATATAATACGCGATAAAATCATAGCACGTTTTCAAGTAGCGTTTCAAATATAATGAACTATCTTTTTTATTTCTGTGAATTTTGATAGATTACTTTGATCTCATGTGAACCAGTTTATCGAGAGTTCGATTATCAACTCAAAATATAAAAATTAACCATTGTTGTTACGATAAACAGCAGCACAATTTTAAAATTGAGGTTTCAATGAATTTTCAAATTTTTGAGACCAAGTATTAACATGTTCGGCATCGATTTGTCATTGTCAGTCATTTTTGGAAAAAGAATTAACAAAGCGTGAAATACAAACGATCGTAAGCAAATTTTGAATATTTATGCAACATTTATTACAAAAACACACGTGTACGCAGTTTTCTTTGAGTTAAAAAAAAAAAAA